CATGCTTAAAACTTAAAAAGAAATCAGCTTTTCACGTACAGTGAGTCTGTGATAATGTCGAAGACATAATTAAATAAATAAAAAATTTCAAACACTAACCGTTTAAACTTAATGAAATGATAATTTTTATGCACAATGTGTCATTACAACTACTGTGATATCAGCACCATGTTCATATGGCTTACTGCATACATGGCTGAATGCAGATGCGAACAAGTGCTGTTTTCAAAGTCGATCTTTGCGCTCCACCTTTCAATGAAGACTTTCTTGAACTGACGATTCACTTGGCCAATAAGACCAATAGCTTCGTCATATGAAGCCAAAACAGCTTCACAGATAGCAAACGACAGCTCCCGTCCATGTTGCATTCACAGATAGCAAACGACACTGAATTTTCTCATTGTCATTGAAACTTCGCAGGTTTTCTGGGCCAACCGGCCCATAAGCCTCTCTGATCATATGCAGGCCATGATCCAGTCTGTCTATATTCTAGAGCAATTTTCAGAAACCACTACTGTTTAGTGGTTATTAACTTTCTATAGCTACCATATATACAATTACTTTCAACAGCTATCATATACACAATTACTTTCAATAGCTATTTATTTAGTTATTACGCGATTGTATTCGTTGTATTCGTGCTACTGTATTCATGAATACAAAAGTAGAATTCGCTTAAAAATAGGGGAGTCCAGCTATGCGACTATATTCGTGCTACTATATTCATGAATAATAGCAGAATTCACCCAAAAAAAAATAGGGGATAGCTGTTTAATAACGAAAAGAGAATCAATTAGCGTGTATCACTCCTAATTTAACTCAACAAAATCAATTCTACAAAATTTCCCTGTTACGCGACTGTATTCGATGTATTCGCGCTACTGTATTCATGAATACAGTAATAGAGGAGTGCAGCTGTGCGACTGTATTCGCGCTACTGTATACAATAGCAGAATTCGCTTAAAAAATAGGTGAGTCCAGCTATTTAATAACAGAAAGAGGATCAATTAGCGTGTATCACTCATAATTTAACTCAACAAAATTAATTCTACATTAATTTTGCTGCTAATGTATTGTATTCCATGTATTCGCGGGACTGTATTTATAAATACAGTGAGGTAATCAAGAAATAGGGTATATACCGTTCTATTCAATTCGACTGTATACATTGTATTCAATTCACATATATTCATTATTCACTATTATACATTGTATTCAATTCGACTGTATTAAAAAATACAGACCTCCGAAATACATAAATACAGGTGGAAAATAATGTATTTATACAAAAATACAATGTATTTGAGTGTATTTGTACAGAATATAATGTATTTGTATCATTGTATGTGACTAAAATAGCAAAGAAGAGAAGAAAGTTCGTTGGAGATGGCTTTTTTCGGCCAAGCAAAATACTATATACATTGTATTAAAACTAATAATGGAGACGAACAAAAATTCGGCCCTCAAATCTTCTCCGCGTAGCCATGGACAGATCTATTTGCCTAAGAGGATGAGCCCTAGTGGATGATGACACCGACGATTCTGATGCCAATGATCAAAATTGAGTGCTTTAGTGGGTATACCTTGTGTAACCTTCTTTGGAGTTGTTGAATCAGCCATTAAAGACGATATTTGAAGTTTTTCCTCAAAACCTAACAATGACAAAAATTGAAAAAAAAAAAGAGATTGAAGAGAAAAAGAAGAATGACAGAGTAAATTGGCATGAAGCGGCCAAAAGCTTTACCAATTACCACGAACTTCTAGAGTAAAAATGTTACGGATCAATTTTGAGAAATTTGTTCCTACAATCTTGTTGTGTGTGAGAGAGAGATCGTGGAGAGGGAAAGAAGAAAAATCTTGTTGTGATTTGAGAGAGAACGCGTGTTAACTGAAAGAAAAGGAGAGAAAAAACATAAATAATGTATTTCACGCATATATGGTAGTGTATACAATAAATATCGATTTTGGTATAAAATATAAAAGGTAGCTATATATAATAATATTTTAAAATGATTTTGTTTTATAATAAATATGGTGTAATAGTTTGCTATAGGAGGTAAAATTTTCTATATTCTACGGCCGACAGATGTTTTGGTACCCCACCACCATCAAGTTAGAGGTACAATAAAGTTGTAGTGCTTTTTATTAGGTGAAATGACCTTGTGACCACTTAAACTTGTACAGTTATATATGAACTCTCGGATTTCCCATTTGAACACCTTTATTTGAGAAAATGGCTACTAATAAATACCTTTGACCGATGACTATGCTTATATGGCAATATTATAGCTGATGTGGTCAATTACGTATTAATCACGAGTATAAAGCGCGTGAATACGATAAAAAATAAATAATTAATAATAAAAAGCAAAAAGAAAAACAAATCTCATACCCTTAACCCCCTACTCCTTCCTTTTATTCACTCATGTTCCCTCCGCCCCCTCCCCCTCCTTAATTGTCGGCCCCTATATCCCCCCTCCCAACCCCCAACCCCCTCCATTTCTCTTCTTCTTCCTTTCCCCTCTCTTCCCCTTTTATTCCAAATCAAGTCCGTAATCAAAATTTTAATAAATTACACTCCAAAGCTTCATATTCAACCACCACTATTCTCAATTTTCAACTATCAATGACACTTCAAAGCTTCATATTAGAGAAAAGTCCACATCTATTATCATAAAAATAAACCCAACGAATCAAGAGAGATAAAAGAAACCGGATCTGATTTTTGTAGTATGAATGGGTAAAAAGAAATTGAAAAGCAAACAGTGTTGGCTGCTTTTTGATTTTTGAAATTATTTGCTGATTTGTTGGAAAGAATCGGGTCTGATTTCGATCGTGGTAAAAGTTATTCACTGCTTCCCGATTTATCTCTCTTATTTTTGGAGGTGGTAGTTTTATCTCTAAGTTTTTGTGATTTTTTTTCTCTATGATTTTTGGTGGTAAAAGTCGAACCTGAAGATTTTGCATATGGTTCTTATTTTGTAGGTGAGAAGATGATAAAACAATGAAAGTGAATGGTATTAGGTGGGAGAGAAAAAAGACAATCACTAAAGATATTTGATCGCTAAAATCTAACAAAATTTCAGATCGACTCCCAATTCTGGAAGGTTTTTATCGGCGAGTTAGTTGAAGGAATATGTACAGAAGAAATTAATTTGACAAAAGAAAAAAAAAAGTGAGACCTTTAACATACACGTGTCAACAAAATGTGAATGAATAGAAGATGTGAATGAATAGAAGATGAGTTTATATAAAATATTAAATTAAATAGAAAACAGCAACAACTAAACAACACGCACAATCAGTGGCGTACGCAGAATTTTATGTAAGCGGTGTTGCAATTAATCGATAGACAGAGGCGGATTCAGGATTTTAATCCTATGAGTTCAACTTTTAATGTTTTTAGCGTTGAACCCATTATATTTTTAAAGTTATGGGTTCATATATTAGTATTTTTGTAATTTTAAAGAATATTTACATATAAATTTTTATTCCGCGTCAAAAGTTATGGGTTCAGTTGAACCCGTCATTACTATACTACATCCGCCACTGTCGGTAGACGGTGACTCATAGAAGTTAGGGAAGATGACAAGAGAGATGAAAAGCCAAGTAGAGTAGCAGTAAGCCAACACATTCAAAAAAAACAAATAGTAAAGGAGTTCATCGAGTATTTAAATAGATAATTCTTATTAGTAGTAAAACATCCATTGTGTTTGGTCAACTGGCTAGTCCTTTGTACTTTGTAGCATGGGTCGGCAGTTAGAAGTTCGAACCCGTGCAAACCGAAGCATCTCTTTTTTAACTAGTAGCAAAAGATGCCCCAAAAAGTGAACTCACGCAAGCATATGGTATCGAACACCCTACCTTCAATTTGAAAACTAGGCACTGAACCACTGGACTGAGACCTAGGTTTTGATAAGTGGTGTCACTTTAGTTCTTTTATCTCTTATTCGTTTTTATATATCCTCTACTATAAACGAATTTAGTTAAATTTTTCGACGAAGCGGTATCACGTGCCTACGTGCATCCGCCCCTGCGCACAATTACAAGTATTTATTAGTAGTCATTTTCTAAGTAGATGTGTTCAAATGGGAAATCCAAGAGTTCATATATCAATTCTACAAACTGGTACAAGTTTAAATGGACACGAGACCATTTCACCTTTTTATTAAGAATCAAGAAAGATTATAGATTAAGATATACCCGTATAACGTAAAATTTATTATTTTTAAACGAAAAGTAATATTTACCTAAAGGAGACAATAAGAGAGGGTAGTTAAATTGATAAGTACTCTCCATCTTCAACCCTAAGATTGCGGGTTCGAATCACCAAACTAACAAAGTGAGAAAACTCCTCGACAGATTATCAAAAAAGTAAAAAAATAAGTGGGACGTGACGTATCTATGCGTATGCCATTGCTCAGACTCCAAATAAACATATAGGTCAAAAAGATCTTACAATTTGTGGGGGGGAG